TGGATGGATGGATGGATGGATGGATGGATGGATGGGATGGATGGATGGATGGATGGATGGATGGATGGATGGACGAATAGAAGAACGGATGGATGTGGAGTTTTTCTTAATTTCTCAATAAAACTTGAACATGGATGAATAAAAGCTGTCTGAGTTGTTTTCCTTCTCGTGATCACATTTCTGAGTGTGGTTGTTTATGTGTATCTCTGTTTTTCGTCAGTGCCCAAAAGAAACATATACAGGGCAAAAAAGTGGGGGTTGGCAGTTTGCCACTGAAGATTGGAAGGAAAAAAGAAAAGCATGAAGAGTAACGACTCACTCCAAAAATTGATTTATCTTTCTATAAATGATGGCTACATCCCCCGAAATGGCTTTATAAATTAATTGCTGTCTTATTGGAATAAAAACCTTCTTGTGTGGACATGATTGATCGTCTAATGTCGCGGCCTGCGCAGGAGTACCCCCCCTCCTCCTTTGTTAGTGGGGTCCCAGCTGGAGCAGTAATGCACTGATAGTATTAACCCTGATTAATAACTAACAATACGCTTTCCTCATACATCAACAGAGCGAAGTGGTTGACTGGACGTGGGACTGGCTGAGGCTGCTGCCAGCATACGAGGGCATGAGTCAGGTCACCTTCAAAAGCCTTTTAACCAACAGGTACGTTTCTTTCTTTAAGATATATACACCTTTCTTTGGCTTTTATCTTTGAAGTGGGCTCTAAATACAGATGTCTGAGCTAAAAAGACTTAAATTCCATTAACCATTTCAGCTGATGTCCATGTTGTCTGTATGAAATGATATTCTCATTTATGGTCAAAGGTAAGACCATGATCCTGTTTCATTCATCACTGATTCAGGCAGTTTAAAATCGGCTCCAAATAGGTGCCTTAAATTTATAATGTGATTTTTTTTGCTCGTACTCCCACACAAACAGAGGCTTCATTAACCCTTTAAAGCCTGATCCAAGAATAAAACAAAACAGAAAATAACTTTTTTTTGGTTTAAATTCCTTATTTGGCCTTTTAACAAAATATGTAAAAAGAAAAAACAGAAATACATATTTTATATTAATAACTTATTACTATGCGATAAGTGAAAATTATTTTTTGTGTAGTCTTCTGCCCCCTGTTATCAGGTATATCTGATTGTGTACAATAGGATTTTGAGCAAAATTTTTACCATTAAATTATGCAAAAGGTGTCAGATGCAAAACATTTCAGAAACCGTATGTATCAAATACGATACATTTGGCATTACAGGGTTAAGTTTGCACAATAAAGCTGGAATCTGATCAGTAAACTTCAGCCCTGTGTGCCCTGAATTGAACATATTATTTTGGTTGTTTGGCTTTCAAAGTATGTCTTCTCTGTCTTGGTTTTGGTTGAACTGAATAAAACAAAACACTGAAACAGTTTTTTGCTCATTCATAACTTTTTCTGATCAATAAAAGCCAAAGCGTTTCCATTGACAACAATGAATGTTGGAGTCATATTTGCTAGTTTATTATGATGTTATTACAGTAATTTTGAGTGGTTTGTGGCCAGTAGAGAAGGTAAATGGGCCTTTGTTTTATGTCATATATAAAAACTAAGGAAACAAAAAGTAAAACATTATTAGCTACTAGTTCCTAGAAACTGTAAAAAGCTTAAAAAAAGTAAGAAAGGTGCCCTGGTAAAACAGCTGCTACATAGTCGGAGGCTGTAGGGCTTGATGCAGCTCCCTTCGGTTTTATACCTCACCAGAGTCCCTACAGTATACTGCCTGTTTCTCCCTTTTCTCTGTTTTCCTTCCTGTCAAGCATCTTTTGAAATGAAGCTAATAAGCAAAGAGAAGAATTCCAGTTACATTTATTTTAAAGTAGGCGTTGGGGATATACAGATTTGACCCAACTTGGGCTTGCCCCCCACTCAATAGAAGAATTTAAAACTTGGACTTTTTAAATTCCAAGTGTCCATCTGTGTTCATCTCCAAATGAAGGTTTTTACATCGTTGTTCCATTTGTTCCTAAATATCTCAGACACTGTAAATTGGATTACATGCATGTGTTATAGCTGATTGTATAGTAGGAGATGTCAGGACTATAAAATTAGCTGGATGATGGATAAAGACTGGCTGGCTCAGATCTCAGTGTCACCTGACTGAAGTTTTTCACCTAAGACCACCTCTTCTGTCCCATCCTCCCATTCCTCTCTTCCCCTCCTGCTCTGCAACAGACATAAATATTTATGCAGGTATGTGACACATATTAGATTGCAGTACTTCAGGCTGTTCCCTGTTCTCCATTCACAGCTGTCACACTGCCAGCTATCAGGGAGCTATGGGGCTACTGCACCTTGTCTCCACGCCTACGCCCAATCCATTCTAAATCACTGCCATTGTAACACACACACCTTTCTAACAAAGGGCAAGCTCTGCATCTGCCAAGGACACGGGCCTAATAAGGGTGAAGTACGCCGCACTGTGCTGTGCTGTGAGGAGCATTGTCGTCTTCATGACTCTACCTCATCTTCCCACATACGCATAACCCATTCTTCTCCTTCCTTATTTGCTGCTTTGTTGCATGTTAAAATAGAGGCTGTCATAGCTTGACTGAGCCAAATTAGGGTTAGGGCATCCATGAATAGAAACTGTATATGGTGGATATTAAGTAAGATAGCAAAAGGTCTGAGCAATAGAAAGATTGAACCAGTTTGAGATATTGAGTGACATGTTAAGAGACGACAGTCACTTTTGATGAGGAGCTAAAAGAAAATACGAGGAATAATAGGGATGGAGGGGTGTTACAAGTTATATAATTTACCCTAATCTTCTGGTATCAAAGTGTCTTATGCTGTCATTTGCCTCATTAGCTCTGTTTGTTAAACCAGAGGAGTGGATTTCATGGAGGATTTGGAGAATGGCTTCAGTTCTGCCTGACTCACTCAAAGAAAGCATGAAGTTGGTTCCCATGACTGCTGACATGTAATCCGTCAAACCTTTCCATAGATCCATGAGTGGCTGAAGAATATCTCTTGAGCTATTGCTCCTGACTCACAGATAGGGACATGGATATGTCATTCGTTGAGTTTTATTTTCTTTTTTTTAAAGAAAATTAAAATAAATTTATTTAGCTGTTTTTAAAAAACACAATTAGTCTTATGCCACTTTGATTCTGTACAAGTCTGAGCATACACGAAGTCTTACACGAGTGCATTTCAATAAAACACTAAAAAGCTAGTTTGATTGAGTTTAGAAAGAGAAACTTGAAAAGATTTGTTCAATACATAGTGATATGCAATATTTTGAGTGTTTATTGATGATAATTAAAGTGGTTACAGTTCATTGCAGCATAAAATTCTCAGATTAAGCTTCCCAGAATATTGAAATATTGCATGAGAGCAACCAGATTTTATTTCATACAAAAAAGTCAGCCAGCCTAAAAATGTGCCTCGTGATTTACAATATATACAAATGCAATACTCTGTCATTGTCCCTTTAACATGAATATATGCATCAGTGCCTCATGGCATTTAAACTAATCAACCGGAGGATATGCAGAAGTGTTAAAGACGCCCAGGTTGTGTTAAGCGTTGTAAAATCTGGTGTCCTCCTTCTTCATCTTAAAATTACTTCACAGATTCTCTCTGGGGTGGAACTGGTTAAACCATGTACTGTAAGTTGTAAATGTATTGATATTTAGTCATTGTAACCTTTTTTTCCAATAAGCCATACTCACTCAGCCTTAATTACAATCATAAATACATTTATATTTATAGAGATATGCAGATTATTAGGCAGGTTGCGTCTGTTTCAGCCCCCTTCGTACATCTGTGCAGTGATCCTTGAAGCACTGGATCGAGCTACAGGCCACACATTAAACTATCTTTTGCAAGTACGCACTTTTTCCCATCCATATCCCTGCATACATGATTCTGAACAGCCAAATTCTTTAGCAATGTTCTTTTGTAGCTTAACTTAGCTGCTTAGTGAGTGGTTGTCAGGTCTGGAGTCTGCCTTGCTAGCTGAATACATTTATACAATGAGCTTTATCTTTTGGGACTATTTTTATTTACTAAAAAAAATAATCTTTTAATCTGATGTCAACAGAAGAAAGTGGTTTTATAACTAAGAATTTTCCTGATAAACAAATATCTTGAGTTTCATCTGTACGATTGTATTAACTGTAAAGGTTAAGATAAGATATAAAATGTTTGAGTTGAATAAAGCAGAATCAATCATTATGATCCTCCAGGATCTACATTATTTTTTGCATCTTAAAAGTTTGAGTGTCCTTGAATGACTTATCTTTTTTTTTTTTTTTTTACACAGATGATGTTATTTTTTCCTCTCCAGCTTTTGTGAGTTAGCAGAGTGGCCCACTGCCCCCCCCCATATATTGTCATAGTGGCAGGACAGTTATTGTGCCCAGGTTTTATGTCACATTCTAATGGAGCAAGGCTATGAGTTAAGGGCGCCGGGCTTTTAAACCAGGGCTGTTAAATCACAGTTCAGATGACTTCATTAGCTCAGCCGGACACATGCTGAGACATTCGATCCTTTGCACACAAATGTGCACACCCATCCCAGCCAAACACACACATACACACACCCACCCACATGCATATACATACACTTACACACTGCTACCTTGACAGTGTAGCATCAGGGCCAGACAGGAGGAATAGTCAATTTATACAGGTGTGTGTGTCCTTCTTTGTCACCTGTCATTTCCATTCCCTCAGCATGATGGCTCATCCATCATCTGCAGATTGAGCTTTTCAGCAGAAACTCGACTGATTAATACCACAGGACCCCCAGGGTTGAGTAACTGACTGGATGACCTGACTTCCATTTCACACAGGCTTCTGAGGCGTGTGTGTAGGAAGATGGAGGGTTGTTTACCTTAAATGGGGACTTGGTGGTCGGAGAAATTAATGATAATGAGCTAAATTATACATCAACTGAAAAACAGAAAGCTGACTAACTTAGTTTTAGTGATGGCAAGTCAAATTATTATCAATAGAAATATATTTTGGAAAGAAATCCATTTTTTTTTCTGCCTTTTGCTCTATAAGAGGGTTCACAAACGTGGTACCCGCAGGCACCAAGGGGTCCTCAAGGACCACATGGGGTGCCCTCAGCAACTTCTGAAAACACCACAAACTCACCAGAGTTTAAGATTCTGTTTTATTCTATTGCTTTTCTATTTTAATAATTTATAGAGTATTTCATCACATTAATCACCTAGAGCATATAAGCATTCATAGGGATTTCAAAATGAAAATATCTAAAATAAAACTAGAAATTAAAAGTACACAATAAAAATGTTTACTATGAATAAAATTTAGGAAAAAGCTGACTCCTCCAGTTCATTGGTCAGTATTGGTAGCCCTTCCTATGACTAAGTACCCATGAAGCAGCTCTAAGCCTTAAAAAGGTTGGTGACCCATGCTCTATAGCAACACTTTCCAGTTTATTCTTGGGATCCAAGTGTTTCCAGGCCATAAGAGATTATAGTTCTTTTGGTAAGTTGTGTATATCCCAGGGTCTCCTACCACTGGGCCCTATATTTTCAATAACCCCTACAAGAAGGCAGCTTGAGGGCATCCTGATCAGATGCACTAACCAGCTCTATGTTGCAACTTTACTTTGAGATGTCTGCTAGAAGTTCATCATTT